AGGGCGCCTTTGTTCAGCACCTCTTATAGAAAACCGGATACTTACATTACCACTACTTTAAGTAAAGTATTTAAAAGCTTGTTTATTCCACAACTGCCTGTCGTGGTTTTGCCTACCAGCCCATCCCTGGGGCTGAGGATGGTTTTGTCCAGGTAATTTCCGGACAAAAAGGCCAATCAAAAGTCCAGTAACGCCTTTGCTAATTACATCTTCAAGAAAACGGAAGAAAAGGTTGTTGGCGCAGTCGGAATTAGGGGCAGCAGCCATGTAGGAGAGAAGAGTAGCGGGCCCAAGCAGGGCCAGACTCCTTCCTCCCCTGGCTTGGGCCGGAGTGGGGGGAGCAGGTGCAGCACTGAAGTCCTCCCTTCTCTCTTGTAAGAGAGTGAAGAAAAAAAAGTTTAAAATTTAGACGAACTGCTTGGACAGAAACCGCTGTGGAAGAATTCCAGCCGAAAGATAACGGAGCTTCCAAGGTCGAAGCTGGCAGCCGAAGCTGCAGCAAGAAAAGTAAAGTGCAAAAGGGGAGGGCTTGTTCCCTCCCCCCCTTTTTTGCTCTCTCTCCTCAGCAGGGAAAAGACTGAAAAGTAATCCCTGCTACTTGTAAAAATTTGTTGGAGTAAGAAGACCCCCCCATACGGCTGATAGAGGAGTCTGTGGATGTACCAAAGAGAACCGAGACTTCATGAGAAGGACTGAAGTGAGGCAGAGTCCTGGTGGAGATTTGTGACCCTGAGGGAAACCTGTGCTGGAGCAGTGATGACTCAGGTGGGATACTGGGATCCGTGTGTGTGTGGATCCATACTGCTGTTGAAGATTTTGTGACCCTGAGAAATCTCAAGCTGGAGCGAGACGGCCCATGTGAGATGCTGGAACCCGTGTGTGTGTGGGATCCGTGCTAGACCCATGCCGAGAAGTCTATCAAGGACTGTTCTCCCATGGGGAGGGACCTCCATAGGGAAACAGAGGTGAACTCTTAAGCCATTATCCCCTCTAACCCTGTGGAAGAAGATCCATAATTAAGCAAGTGTCCCCTTGCAAGCCTATGGAAGGAAGACCCTTCGGGACCTGAGTAACCTCCAGCCTTCGGTCTTAGCCCAGGAGGGGGGTAAGCCCAGCCCTGGAAGCCAACACAGAGCGAGAAAGTTCCAGCTGCAACGAGAATACCTGCTGCTACTGAAAATACTGCTGCTACTAGAGAGAGAAAGAGAGAGAGAGCTGAAACTCCGAAAATAGAGAATGAGACTACTTCTTCTCCTTGGACTAGTATAAAAGAAGAAGAAGAAGTATTTCTGTATATATATAGCACTTCAACTTGAGTAGAAATTGTTGTAGATATAGTTCTTTAGTTTTTAATTTATTAGCAGTTTTTGTTTTACTAGTAATAAATGTTTATACTGTTTTCCCCAAATCCTGTCTCTCTTTTGTCTGCAAAAAACCTTCTCTCAACTAGTACTAATTGTGGTGGGAGGTGGAAAGCAAATTGACCCAAAGCAAAACCACGACACTGCCTTAACAGAAACTTACATCGTAAAGGCCGGTAGAAAATCACTGAACAACGGAGAATTATTAGTCTCACACGCGGCTGAAAAGGCATAGGGGTTTTTTTTGAGCAGGTCACAGAAATCACGAAGGTTGGAAGAGACCTCTACGACAGAGCCCAACCATAAACTAGTTCCCACACCGGCAAGTCCCTAATCAGGCACAGAGCTCCAATAAGCATTCTCACATCGACACGCAAGCTCGGGAGGTACCGGCCCACACCCCCTTCTCCCCTCCCTCCTCCTCTCCCCTCCCCGCCGCCATCTTCGGGAGGAGCTGCGCGTGCGCGGTGTGGCGCGGGAGCAGGAGCGATGGGGCTGGGACAGAACAGCGGCGTGAGGGGTACGGCCGGGATGGGCTGCGGGGCACGGCTGGGATGGACTAGGGGGTGCAGGATGGGATGGGGGTCGGTCGGCGGTGCGGGACTGAGCGCGGGTAGGACGGGGGACACCCGGCGGCGGGGGGGGGGGGGGGGGGGG